CTCTTTAACGAAATTACAAATTTTATCTATTATTAATTCTCTTACTCTTTTTTTATACATAAATACAATAACAATACAAATAATAAATACATAAATCTTCAAGAAAATATTCTATACAACTATACTTTATTAATATTAATACTATTTTTAGCTAGTATATTTCTAATTTCTTGAAGTATATTCACTAAATTTTCACAAAACTTATTCGATAAACCATGAAAGCACAATCGATTTAATTTACTCAAAAAAAGAGTTAGAGAATTAATAATAGATAAAATTTGTAATTTCGTTAAAGAGCTTTTATTTTTTTGAAGCTCTGCATTTTCAAGAGCTTGATGGTATTTTTTTAAATAATTTTGCTTTAATAAATTCAATTCTTTTTATACATGTGATTTCACTAAACCTTATTATTTTCTCACTTAATGCCAATTCTCTACCTAGATTTCAAAAAGCATAATTATCAGCATTTAGATTTATAAATTAGGCTTTTCTTATCTAAACCCAGAATCAATATAATTCAACAGTAAAGCCAGAATATGTACAAGGTTCATTGACTTTATTTTTTAAGTATCCTAATATATTAAAAATATGAGTATACAATTTAGAAAATTTAGTACAATTATGTGCTACAATTTCTCAATATTATTAAGAAGGTATAGGTAGAATTAATGATTTTGATAATTTGTTAATTTCTTCAAGTATTGCATCGTGACTTTGATGTTGATTTGAAAGTTTAGATCATAATGTAACAATCCTTTCTTGAATTAGATCTCGAATTTTAGACTTTAATTGTAGCATTTGTTCTTTATCAGCAATCTTGATTATTCAATAGATTGGATACTATCAAGCAGACCAAATAGGCACGAATATTCATCTAGCAGCAAATCTTAGTGAAGGCCTATTAAAACGAATGCTAGTATGAAAGTTAATAATTGCTTATAAATAAATAAAAACTTGTTCATACTTTAATCTAAATATATAATCAGTTTGGTTTTGAGCCTATTTTAAATAGCCTTTGACTGAAGGATTTTTTTTCAGAAATAACATATAGCTACATTAATTCAGATGCTATCACGTGTCTATATATATTATATATAGAATTCTATAACTTATAATGGTTGAAGCATTTTTTGAAAAATTGGAGTTAATTTTCAGTTTGATATCCTTAGCACTTAGCAAAATCTCTTAGATTGATATCCCAATTTAATTCAACGAATACCTTTAATATATTCATTTCTTCATGAAGAGTATCTGGAATTAATATAAGCCATGGAAAATCCTTTTTTATTTTTTGTATTTTTGATATAGTACTCTATTACAGGTAACTATAACCCATTTATAGCTACTATCCTTAACCTCAGATATTTCTTCAATATGCTCAAAAACTTTTCTAACATTAGCAACCAAATTTGGATTAATTCCAAGTGGATCAGGAACAAATACTTGTGGCATATAAACTTTACTTTTCAAAGCAGATCGTTGTTTAAATATATAAGGAGAAATACCAGTTGATTTTTCAGTAGCATTTATTGTCTTATATTTATCAATTATTTTAGCAATTGTTGGTAATTTATTATTGCAGTTAGGGCAAGTCTGTTTCTTATTTTTGATATTAGAGATCTGGCAAGCTGTACATTTTTTTATATGTTCTATTTGGCCTTAATGATGAACTATTTTATTAATCATATTCGTTTCTTGATTTTTCTCAACACAAAACTCATCTAAAATAGCAGAAAGATAATTAGTAAATTCTTTATTAATTTTATTATTCATATCCATCAGTAAATAAAATAACTCTTCATATTGCTTTTTGTCAAGTTCAGTATATAGCCAAGAATTTTTATTCTGAATCTTATTATTTTGGCTATAGTTAAATATAACAAAATTCGTAACTGTATAGAATA